TAATGTAAATGTTCTGTGTGTCCCCAAAAAGTTCTTTGTATGCTATTCGTTTTAGTATTGACAGTGTTTTAAAGCTTTGAAAGAGCAATGTTCTTTTAGAATCTTAAAAGGATGACATCTATGATGAGTATAAACTAAAATATTGTCTTGCCATATTTGATTTTACTATAGCATCTAAGATTGGATAGACACTTGATTTATCTGGTCTGTCATATAAACTTTTTTTTTTAGTTTAACTTTGGTCTCTTTCTCAAGCGCTGGCTGTCTGTTGCAATGAAAGCCTTTTATAAAATAGAGAGATTGAAATCAGTCCTTTTGTATGCATAAGTGTAGGTAATTATACTTTAAAGAGAACTTGCTTTGTACATTTTAATTTTTATAAAGAAACGAGCAGTTATCTCCCTGACACCTTATTAAATGTATAATTAACCTTATGATCCCTAGCTCACTTGTGAATGCTTGGCAGTATAATTGGAGAGGAATAGTGTTTCTTTTTTTCCTCTTTCTTTGCAGTCCTAAACCTTATTCTCTGGTTGTTGAAGCATTAGTTTAATTTTTCCCCTTTCTTTTTAAACAAACTTTATACTTGCAATGCCAAGGACAGCTTTCGCCAAAGCTTGGCATAGCTTGCACGTGTTTTCTTTTTTCTTGCCTTAAAAAATAATAGTTGACTGTTAGGCCTTCCTGTTGATAATAATACACTACTGTATTATCGTGAACTTTCTTAATTGGAAATACTCACTTTGATCTGCTCGTTTATCAGAAACCTTCACTTACTGATTAATGTTTTAATTTTTAGAGATGTGGTGCAATTGCTGAACAAACCTCGATTTTGTTGGTGTTCTTTATTAGGAATTCTGGAAAACCAGGAAAGGTACTGTGCTTTCTTTGCTAACGAATCAATGATGCTATACGTGTCTTGCTCAGAAGTATTGAATTTAACATAAGAGCCTGTTGGTCAGGACCTTATTTGAGAACACTATAGAAATTCCAGACTTTGCTTGTCTCTACTTAACTTACTTTTATAGGATATTGATAGAGTCCATTTTGGCTTTTAGCTGTACTAGAAATGTAAAACAATTTCATGCAGGAACTCCCCACTTACACAGTTATGCACTGAGAGCCCCAAGAAAAGGCCCTTAGAACTGGAAAATTAGGCCGGGCATGGTAGCTTGCACCTGTAATCCCAGCAATTTGGGAGGCCAGGGTGGGTGGATCACTTAAATTCAGGAATTTGAGACCAGCCTGGCCAACATGGCAAAATCCTGTCTCTACTAAAAATAATAATAATAATAAAGAAATAGAAGATTAAAATTATGTTGGTTAGGTCACTTTGGTACTTCAACAGTGCAGAAGTACTGCCAAGGGAAACATATACTACAGGGTGTCTCCCATCACATGGCGACTTTTGAGCATTTATCAGGTAAATGAGCCACTTGGCTTTCAAATTGATATGGAGACATAAATTAATGATCTAATTTGTACAATTACCTTATTTACACTAGAAAAGGGGTGGGTGGGTGTGTAATAGAACCAAATCCTTTTTAAAATTTATTATTTAAAAAAATTCTGTGGGTGCATCATAGGTATATTAAATTCTATTTTGATGTTTAACAGTAAGAATAAAATTAAATTTCAAAAAACATTTTCTTAGATCTGATTTTACTCCTTGTACACCAGAAACTACATTCTTAGTTTATTTGGGTTCTTTATGGAGTTTCAAACCATGTGCCAACCATGATGCTTGTTTTATTTGAAACATTTAGGCTGTGTCCAGTTTGGGAGGTCTCCATTTTCCTTAATTTCTACACACTTCCCCTAAATATACCTGCACTTTAAAAATTTTGCTTTATTGCATCCGTGGGTTATGTATTTATTTACTACAAACAACCCTCTTAGAAAATATTTAATTGTCCTTTCTTTCAGAGAGGCTATGTTTTTATAGTTGTGATTAAAAAGTATAAGGAATCTAAAAAACACGTCAGTCCACATGTGAGACTGTGCCGGCCTATTGCCTTGTCCAGGAGATGGGATGGGAAATGCACAGCAATATATCTGCTTAGAACATTCCTTCCAGGGGAGTTTAAAATAGAAGAAGCCCTGTAGGTCCAGGTGTGGATTGACCCAGTAAACATGCTATAAAAAGGAGCTAGGATTTTTAAGATGTCTGTTAAGTGTTCCATTGTTTGACAGTAGAATAGTTAAGCCAGATTTTGCACCTCTTGGTGAGATGGGAAGAGGTCATACATGTTTATATATCCATCATTGATTTATCCAGCAATGTGGGAGCAGAGCTGGAAATACTCAGCGGATATTCATTAGGGCAGAGCAGTTTTGCATTCACTCGCTACAGGAAATAAAACTGTAGCCCAGTCTACATATTCCTGGAAGAATTCAAGTCAAATTTCAGTGAGATCCTAGAAATGCTCTTTTTTTATATGTCAAGTAGGTAAAACTTCAGAATGTTTTGTTTTGTTTTTGAGGCGGAGTTTCGCTCCTTACCCAGGCTGGAGTGCAATGGCGCGATCTCGGCTCACCGCAACCTCTGCCTCCCCGCAACCTCCGCCTCCTGGGTTCAGGCAATTCTCCTACCTCAGCCTCCTGAGTAGCTGGGATTACAGGCACGCGCCACCATGCCCAGCTAATTTTTTTGTATTTTTAGTAGAGACGGGGTTTACCATGTTGGCCAGGATGGTCTCGATCTCTTGACCTCGTGATCCACCCGCCTCGGCCTTCCAAAGTGCTGGAATTACAGGCTTGAGCCACCGCGCCCAGCCTTCAGAATGTTTTAACTGAATTCTTCACAATTTCATCCATCAGTTTTGGCATCTACAGGTAGGGTTGTTATCTCTTCTACCCTTGGGATCTCATAACTTCTTGGTATGGTCACCTCTTGGCAAAAGAAGGAGTCTATCATAGTCTAGAAAAATATTCCTAGAAATGTAAGTGGAATTGCATGAAAAATGCTGGTTGGTTTTAGCTGTAGATTGTTGAGTCAATATCATATGCTAATATACAAGGGAAAATAGTCCACTAAATTGAATTCTGTTGTAATTATTGTGAAAATTGAATTCTGCTGTAATTATTGTGAAAATTTTTAATATAGTGTTGTTCTGTCAGTGTTCTATTTCACTGTTATTTTGAGGTTTTGGTAATACTACCTTCATTTAATTTCCTAGGCATCAACTCTGAAATCTGTGTTAGAATTGATTCCTGAATTAAATGAAAAGCAAGAAGCATATAATTCCCTCATGAAAAGCTATGGTAATATACATTTAATCTGACTATATTATTTGATTATTTAAGTGGCTTTATTATTTAAGTGACTATATTATGTAAATGACTTGTATAGTCAAGTAAGTCTTAGTCTTCAGCTCAATGGCAGTAATCTTAAATATCATATAAAAATATATTCCAGAACTGAGTAATAATAAATAAATGAGTTCTGGAATATATTTTTAAACTATATATTAAGAAAAATACTAAATTATGCATATAACTTTAACAAGTACCACTCAGCATCTTCCAAGCAGTCCAGGTATATTCAGTAGAATCCCAGGCTCCTGGAAAGACCTGGAAGTCCTCTTGGACTTATATATTAGAAACCAGTTCAGTCTCCCCAAAGGCCTGCTGTCTGAAACAGTTACAAGTTTGAGACTCTCACTTAACCAGCCTTCTTGCTCCTTCAGAACCCTCTCTCTGCCTGCCTGCTATTCCTTTGAAATGACAGACCCCTTGATTAAAAAGTAGCCCAAGGTTTTTAGGTCCCGGTTAAAATTCTGGTCTTTTAACCAGTTTGTTCCCTGATCGCCAGACTATCACATATGAAAGGAAACCAGTCTAAAGATTCCTCAATAATCGAAATAAATGTTAGCATTTCTCATTTGTGATCACCTCTCCAACTGCTGCCCAGTGATTTGCTCACTGGAGGCATGGGGTAAATAAAGATTTATTGATTTTATCTATGGCAGAACAACAGACTCAGCAATCAGAATTAGTTAAGTCAGTTCTGTTTTTCCATCCTTATAAGGAGAACATTCTGTATTTCAAAATAGAGCTATAGTCATAAAATTTCTCAAATTTCCAGTAACTAAACACAGGCATACCTGGGAGATACTGCCCATTTGGTTCCGGACCACCACAAAAAGGCAAATAGAATGAACAAAGTGAGTTAACATGAATTTTTTCATTTCCCAGTGTATATAAAATTATGTTTATACCATAGCGTAGTGTATTAAGTATGTAATAGCATTATGTTTTTAAAAAGTACACTCCTTAATTTAAAAATACTTTCCTGTTAAAAATAGCTAAAGATATCTGAGCCTTCAGTGATTTGTAATATTCTTGCTGGTAGGTCTTGCCTCAGTGTTGATGGCTGCTGAATGATCATGGAGATGATTGCTGAAGGTCGAGGTGTCTTAAAATAAGACAACAATGGAGTTTGCCCCTTCAACTGACATTTCCTTTTACGAGAGATTTCCGTGTAGCATGCGATGGTGTTAGCATCTTATCTGCAGTTGAACTTCTTTTAAAAATTGGAGTCAGTCTTCTCAAACCATACCATTGCTGTATCAACTAAATTTATGTAATTCTAAACCCTTTGTTGTCATCTACACAGCATCTTCATCAAGAGTAGATTCCTTCTCAGGAGTCCACTTTCTTTGGTCATCCTTAGAAACAGCTTTTCATCATGTCAAGTTTGATCATGAGATTGCAGCAATTCAGTCACATCTGCAGGCTCCACTTCTCATTCTAGTTGTCTTGCTGTTTCCACCCCATCTGCAGCGACTTCCTCCCCTAAAATCTTGAGACCTGCAGAGGGGGTCCCGGTCCCATTTATGAGGGTTGTAATCAGCTTCTCCCAAACTCCTGTTAATGTTGATATTTTGACCTCCTATGGATTACAGATGTTCTTAATGGCATCCAGAAGGTTTTCAGTTTACTTTGCGCAGATTCATCAGAATCTGTCAGTTATAGCCTTATGAAATGTGTTTTATTTTTAAAACATGAAATACTTCACACATTTACGTGTCATTTTTGCACAGGGGCCACGCTAATCTCTGTATTGTTCCAATTTCAGTATATGTGTTGTTGAAGTGAGTCCAAAATGTGTAAGACCTGAAAGTCAAGATTACTCCTTGATCCATGAGCTGCAGAATGGATGTTGTATTAGGGCACCCGAGAACAACATTAATCTCCTTGTATATCTCCTTCAGAGCTCTTGGGTGACCAGGTGCATTATCACTAAGCTAATATTTTGAAAGGAATCTTTTTTTCCCCTGAGCAGTAGGTCTCAACAGCGGGCTTTAAATACTCAGTAAACCATGTATAAACAGCTGTGCTGTCCTCCAGGCTTTGTTGTTCCATTTATAGAACACAGGCAGAGTAATTTAGTGTAATTCTTAAGAGCCCCAGGATTTGGCAATGGTAAATGACCCTTTGCTTCAACTTAAAGTCACCAGTGGCATTAGCCATTGAAAATAGAGTCAGCCTGTTCTTGGAAGCTTTGAAGCCAGGCATTGACTTTCCCTCTCTAGCTCTGAAAGTCTTTGATCTAATAGAAGGCTGTTTTTTCTACATTGAGTATTTGTTGTTTAGTGTAGCTGCCTTGATTTTCTGCATTTGCAGTTTCACCTTGGACTTTTATGTTATGGAGAAGGGTTCTTCCCTCAAACTCTTGAACCAGGCTCTGCCAGCTTCAGACTTTCCTTTCATAACTTCTTTGCCTCTCTCAGTAGGGTTAGGGCCTTGCTCTGGATTAGGCTTTGTCTTAAGGGAATGTTGTGGCTGGTTTGATCCTCTATTCAGACCAATAAAACTTTCTCCATGTCAGCAGTAAGGCTGTATCACTTTCTTATCATTTGTGTGCTGAGTGGAGTAACACTTGATTTCCTTCAAGGACTTTTCCTTTGCATTCACAACTGGCCGTTAGCCACAAGAAACTTAACTTTCAGCCTGTCTCAGCTTTTGACACGCCTTCCTCACTAAGCTAAGCTTAATCGTTTCTCGCTTTTGATTTAAAGTGAGAGATGTGTGACTTTTCCTTTTACTTGAACACTGACAGGCTCTCATAGGGTTTTTAATTGGCCTAATTTCAATACTGTTAAGTCTCAGAGAATAAGGAGGCCTGAGGAGAGGAAGATGGAGACGGTAGAACACACATTTCTCAAGTTTGCTGTCTTATGTGTGCCTGGTTCATAGCACCCCCGAAACAATTATAGCAGTAATACAAAGATCACTGTAACAGATAAACCAATCGGGAAAAACTTTGAAATATTCCAAGAATTCCCAAAATGTGACACAGAGACAAAGTTAGCACATCCTGTTGGAAAAATGTCATCAATAGACTTGCTCAAGGGAGGGTTACCACAAACCTTCGATTTGTAAATAACACAACATCTGTAAAGTGCATTAAAGCCAAGGTATGCCTGTAATGTGAAATAGTGTCAAATGAATAAAACTATATGTTACTACTAAATTAGGTAATCCTGCTTGGGAGGAGGGTAGAAAATTCAGGAAGTAAAGAAAGGCAAGATACTGGAGTTTTCAGAGCCACTTCTTAGAAGATAGAGCTAGACCCCTTGACAGTAGTAGAGAAAGGGTTCAGGTCCTTGGGAGGGATTTATACAAGAAATTGACTTCACAGAAACAGCAGAGATCAAAGAGCTGATGAGTCATTCACCCTCATTCCACTTTGGGAGACTCTGATTGCTGAACTTCTCACAGCTGTCTTAGGGGTTCCCCTGGTGCTACTGGAGTTGAGATTGACTATATCAGAGTCAGTGTAGGGCAGGGGTTTATTTGGTGCTTAGATGCTAACAATCTACTGCAAAACTAAAGAGTTGAATTACCAGCGGTAATTGTTAGCAGAGCCCTTACCATCTCGATGGTAAACTAAAAAATTTCCACAAATCAGCCACAAGTAGAGAGCCAGCCAAATTTGGCTCCTAAGCTATTTCATCATTCACTTAAATGAAATACTAGTATAACTTGTTAATGTCTCCTTACAGGTTTTGTGTGTGTGTCACTGTAGCTAACTATGTTCTTCATATTTATTTTACAATGGAAAAATGCAATAAAAGTTACTTTGGTGTTCAGCCGATGATCTTGATGTTAATGTAGATTTCCACATAATTTACATGCTCCTCTCCACAACAGTCCCTGGATTATCTTGATTTCAAAGTGGTTTTAAGCAAAAGGGAATTGAGTGCTGTGTGCGTATTATTTTATAACTGAAGACTTCAGTTTGTAGTCACTTGAACTATCATAGGTCTTCTAAATAATATAATAACCTAAGTGAATGGTATCATTAATATTCTAAAGACCTCTGAATGTAGCCATATTTGTCATTTTCTTCTCCTTCAAAGTGAGTGATGCTGAATGAGGGATGTAGAGAAGTGAGGAAGATGGTAGATTCTGAATGTGGTTTCTTACTGAAGGTAGTTAAGTATTACTCATTTGCCATGGGATAAAGGGATCCAGCTGTCCCCGAATGGCTAAGTGTTTTGGTGGAAAGAGTAACATAGATTGTCTTTATGATTAATATATTTTTTCTCTTTAACTATGTTAGCCTCAGAGAGAGATGTCACATCTGCTAAAGCACTGTATGAACGTTTGACTGCAAAGAATATAAAACTGAATGATCTGTTTCTAAAGCGTTATGCATTTTTGCTGAAGAGTGCTGGAGAGTCTGTCCCTTTCACGGAACCCCCTGTGAGTATTTCTTAATTAAGGAGGGAAAAATGCCTCTACAGATTTATGTACGCTTCATAAGAAAATAATAAGAAAATAAGTTGAAGACTTAATTACATGAGGATTAGATCTCTGTGAAGAACCCTCAGGGGATGGCTTGAGGGACTGAGCAGTGTGCCTTGGCTGCAGCACTAGGAGAGCATAGCTCTCTGGGGCCACAGTTTAAAATACAAGGTCTGTCTCAGACCTTCAGCTATAGGCATGGATTTATCAAATGTCCTTGGGGCAGTTCTCATCATTTCAACTTGAAACAGGATTTAATGGCCTGTAGTTCAACAGCCAAGCATATTATGTCACTGGTAATTACTTGTTCATTTACATAAGTTGGCTTTTATTTCCTCATCCAGGACATTTTGTTTTCTTTAATAAGAGAAATCACATATGCACAATTTTTTTGTTGTTGTGTCATTGAACTGAAAGTCACTGCACCATGTTTATTTCACCTCAACCTTCCATACCCAGGTGTAAATACCTCCGTACATGTGCATGCACACACACATGCATGCACACTAGCTCCTGCTGCTACCTTTAACTCTGAATCCAAGGCCCTTGAACTTGTGATTTCATGAAACAAGGAAGGAGTGCTGAAGCTTAAGGGGCAGCATCTGCCATAGGCCTGGCAGTCTTGGCTAACAGTTGGTAGTGGTTTATGATTTTTTAAGTTTTGTACTATCACCTCTTGCTGGTACCTTCATCTCTAACTTCCCTCTTTTTTTCTCCTTAACAGGAAAACTTTGAATTTTATGCACAGCAGATAAAAGAATCGAAGGAAAACTCTTCATGAAATAAACAGGCGATACTTTGTTTTGTGTATATTTGTGATTCTGTGTCTACATGTTGTTTTTAAGTGTATTTGAAGGGAAAAATGAAAAAATTCATGTACTTTATGTATGATACATGTTCAAAGTCAACAATAAGTGTACATTTGGTTATTGGGCGTTTTTAGAGTTTTTTTTCCTCTGGCATAAATTGATAGCATTTTCTTCAGTGCTGTTGATGTGTGAAGCCATTCTTTTTCAGGATTCTTCTCGCACTTGGCTCTTGGTTTCCCTGCTCTGTTTCATTTGCTATTTTCATTAAAATGTTACTCCTTTATTTAAGACTCACTTATTAGTCTGCTGTTTCTCTGAAAAATTTTAGAGCTAGATACAGTAATAGTGGGTCTTCTAATGCATGATATTCTGTAATATAGCCATTCCTTACATGTGTGAAGTCATGCATAACTTTCTAATTTTGTAAAATGTTGGCACTAAGAGTCATCAGATCTAGCCTTCATCACTTTCCAGTGAGAGGCAGAGACCCAAAGGTCCAGTCACTTGCACTTGGTCAAGGGCTTGGTCAGGGGGCTGTCTGTCATGCCTGGAGGCTCTTCGGCACACTTTCCCCCCTTTCCCTTCTGCCTCTATTCATGGAGGTCTCTGAAAGTGACTTATCCCGAAGTAAAGCAATGCTTTTCCTCTTATTTGAGTTTCAGGACTTGGTTACACAAGCTCCACCCTAGGCCTGTTACTTTATACTCATATCCTGAAAATGTGATTTCATCTATGAAGGGGTAAAATATTGGTTTGTATTTTTTTGAAATAAAAGTTGTCCCTATATTGACTCTCATGCCTGTTAATATCTACACTGAAAGTAGGAACTTCAAAAAAAAATTCTAAGATAGGTAGTCAAGAGAGTTTGCCATTACAAAGGTGTCTTGATACGGACTACTGACCTAACTGGAGATGAGGTAATTAATTACCAAAATGTTGAAAATGTCTGTTTGAGAACTCGCCCCATTTTGGGGTATTCCTTATTCATTTGAATTTGGTGACTGCCTACTGTTCCAGTTTCAGTGCCAGCTTGGGTCCCACTGTTCACGTCAGGGGAGACCTTGCCTTGGGGACATAGGTGGGCCTCTTGCAATTTGTGCTGTTGACCTTCTGTCTGGTGGAACCATCTCTCCTGCACCTGCTACCTGCCTGCAGATGGTGTGAGAGGGAGGGTTGATGGCAGGAAGCCAGGAAGTAGGTGTCATCGTGGTATTAGCCAGGCTTTTACTTTAACTGTTTGTGGCTTTAGATTTAAGGAAGCAGGGCCTTGGCCAGTGCTGAGTCTTGGTCCAGTGGACATAGTGCAGCTTTCCCTGGAGCACTGCCCAGGTGCAGGACCTGCACATGGTACAGGTTTACCAAGAGCCTTACTTTTTTTTTTTTTTTGAGACAGACTCTTGCTCCATTCAAGCTGGAGTGCTGTGGCACAATCTCAGCTCACTGCAACCTCCGCCTCCCAGGTTCAAGCAATTCTTGAGCCTCAGCCTCCCAAGAAGCTGGGATTCCATGCACGTGCCACCACCCTCAGCTAATTTTTGTA